TTTGTTTTCATGGCTGAGGCCCTCTTCCTTTCTCTGTCGTTGCTCCTCTTCCGCAATCTCCGCCTCCAAACGATTTCTATCATCTCCATCGTCACTCATCTTCTAGTTTTTACAAAAAATCAAACACAAAATCGTGGCTCTTCAGGAAAAAAAATTGCAAAATAGAGGGAATTAAATCATAATTTGAAAAAAAGGCACTTCAATCTGTCAAGGTGGTGAACATAATATTAGGGATGGAAAAAATTAAAAATTAAATAAAAGAAAGCAGAAGAAAGAATAGGGTTGGAAAAATCTGAACAGGTTGTAGAATGTCGAGAAAGAGAAGAACGGGGAGGAGTAATTTTGGCAACAAATAAGGTTAATATGGTCAATAATTTTTACTTTAAGGGACACATGTGTAATTTTAGATATTTTCAACTGTGTAGATCAAAATTATCTCACCCCCCAAGGCAAGATCAATTAGTCCCGGTTTCCCATGATTTTTCCACTGTTCATCGCGGGCCCTATCCTATCTGGCGGGCCGAAATCTTGGTAAACAAATGTGAGATTAGAGGTGGATTGGAGGCTTAATCTTGTCATATCTAGGCTAACAAACGTGTCCTAAATATATAAATATATTTATTAAAAACATAAAATAAAAGAATTTGTATCTTGACCTTAACACCAGTCAAATGCTTGGGTCAACCGAGTCAAGCCATGTCGACTAAATTTGACCAAATTGTTTGTTGACCAATTCAAATCATCTAAACTCTAAAGTGGGTCGGGCTCTGGGTTAATCAGGTCCCCGATGATTTAGGTCAAAGAAATGCTGTAATGGTGCCTATCTTGGAAAAAAAATTACTTGTGTTTAATCACAACTTCGCGAGAAACACGTTCTTTAACATATCACACATTACACCACAAGATTTTTTTTTCGTGTTGCAAATAATTAATTTCATATTTTCCAAAAGAAAGGATTATATTAATGTTGGGTAAAAGGCTAAAATCACCATTCAAGGATAGTAGAAGGTTGGTCTAGTTCAGTCTTGTACGGATTTTGTTCTGTCTTGTGCGAATTTGCTTTATATTTATGATATAATTGGTTTTTGAATGTGGTGAGCCGTGAGGATTTGAGCCATCTCCTTCGTGAGATATTATGGGTAACCTCAAAATGTGAGTCCATTGCATCAAGAAGAAACATAATCATTATTTCATAATTAACACAAAAACACTAGCTCCAAAATATATAAGTACATTGCTCAAATTTCAAAATCACACTGCTAAACGACAATTCATCCACAAAGAAAAACCACACACAAACAATTGCAAAGTCCCATCAGAGCACAACACACTTATTATCAAAAATTCAAAAACACTAATTATTAATCACTATAATTCACACTCTCATCAGATAGCCTTGAGCAGATCCTCAGCGCTGCTAACGCTGAAATCGCCTCCTTCCTCCAAATTCAAGATCTTCACAACTCCATCGTCAACATACATGGCGTACCTCCTCGATCGGACCCCCAAACCAGCCGGAGAATCGCTCAGATCGATCTGGCACCCGATCGCCCGGGTGAAATCGCCGTTTCCGTCGCTCAGCAGCAGAACCTCGTCTCCGATCTTCAGATCGGCCTTCCATGCCTTCATCACGAACGCGTCGTTGACGGAGACGCAGGCGATGGTGTCGATTCCCTTCGCCTTGAACTCGGCGGCGTTATCCACGAACCCTGGGAGGTGCTTCTGCGAGCAGGTCGGGGTGAAGGCGCCGGGGACGGCGAGGAGGACGACCTTCTTGCCGGATGTGAGGTCGGAGATCGAGACGGTCTTCAAATCTCCGGCGGAATCGTAGTAGGAGAGGGTAGCGGCGGGGAGCTTGTCGCCGACGGAGATGGTGGCGGGCTGGGCGGTGGCCATTTTGCTGCGTTTGTGTGCGAGTTAGAGATGAAAGAGGGATTTTAATTTTATCAAGTGTGGTGTTTGATTGTGAGTTGTAGGGAATTGCAACCAAAGCCCATTATTTATAGAGTTCGTTAGGCTATTCACGACCGTCGATTTTGCTTGGAGGGTTGGGCAGGGCTATATTGACCATGACTAACGCGAATTGCTACATGAATTCTTGTGTACCAAGAAAATGATATTATGGAAATGAAAATGTTTATTTGGTTAGTGTGAATAAATAATAATAATAATTAAATATATATATAATTAATTCTATAATTTATATGTTAGGTTATATTAATATATTTTTACCAATAAGACTGGGATTACGATATTTTTCACATAAAAACTACATAGTCATAAAAACAAAGGTTGTTTATTATTTTGAAGTGATTCAAACCACATAAAAATTAACTTCTAAAAGTACATAAAGTTTATTTACCTAAAGTATTTAATTCTCTACACAATTATCATTTATAAAGCACAAAAGTGTTCTATGATTTTCTTGAAAATATATGCCTAGTCAATTTGTTTTTTGTGAAATATTAAAGGAAAAAATGATGCTATCAAGAGCTTTAGGCAGCTATCCCAAATGTATAACTATATATACAAATAATCTTGTTTTTGTTATGTCATTATTTTATAAGAAATACATTGGTTAACCAAAATGTGTCTAGTCAATTTGATTATAAATTCCGTAACATTTGCAACAATATTTTTTCATTACATAATTATTTTTTTAATATTTTTAAATTTGGAGGTTTATTTTAAAATTATTCTAATTTTAAGAATGTTTAAAAATTTTTTTCTACCTGTCCTTTATTAATTTTTTGGCGATGATATTGTGGAAAAATTAATAAAGACTCAAAATCTTAAGATGTGATTTTTTTCTTTCAACAGTGTAAAAAGGGAAAAAAATGTTATTAAAATTAAGAAGTATGTCCGAAAGAGTTGATCAATCAAATATCTAACTACTCAAAACACTTATAATAATTTTAACCATATCTTGTTAACAGCCTACAAAATTTTCATGGATAACATAACAAGTTTTCAAATTTAATTTCTCTTTGTTCTCTAAAATTATTTCCAGCGAAAAACATAAAGAAATTATTATTATAACTTTTATTTTAAGTAATTTAGTGAATCAATATTGTTTAAATAATTTATATTTACTTTTTTTGATAAATGCTTAGATTTTATTTATATATTAATAGATTAGCGGCTCAAACAAGTCGAGCGGCTCGCGAGCACTCGAGTCATCGCTTGGCTCGAGCTCGAGTTTGTTCGAGTTCGAGTATTCCAAATTTGAACTGAAGTTCAAGCATGTAGTTTGTACTCTTGATATGTTACTCAAATACATGTAAAATTACCTAAATATCTCTCATTAAACATTTTAACTGAATGTCTAACTTGAGCAAACTTCAAGCCGATTTTGCGCGCTTGTGTTTTATTTTCGAGTCAAGCCCCGAACAAGATAGACTCATCGAGCCCCAAGCAAGCAGACTCATCGAGCTCAAGCAGTTGTCAAAAAAATTTGAGCGTGGCTCGATAAAGCCAATGTTCGACTCAACTAGACACACGTTTGCAGTCCTAGTCAAGATTAATTTTATTGAAATGTGAATTTAAGTTAATAACATTATTTATTTTATTTTCTTACTATAATATATACCACTAGTACAATTGAAAAAAAAATATTATTATATTTTTTTATAAAAGTATTATTTATCTATTTATATATTTATTATTAACAATTGTAGTCGATTATTTTTTATTATTTTATGTTACATTGATGTGAATCATTATTTTTTTATATTCACTCATAATCTCTGTCTCGGTTTCTTCTAAAAAATAATTCGTTTTTTTGTCTCTTTTCATCTCATTTCTTCTGCGAGAATAATATTATTCTATTCAATTAAGGCTGCCTGCCTGCGTTGGCCGACTTGCTGACGCGTATTGTTCGGGTAAAAATTGGTCTAACTGAAGTTGATTTAGAATTATTATTGGAAAGATGAAATAAAAAAAAAAAAATGTGAATAGTGCACTATTAATAAACCATTGACTAGCCTCGGGTGAATTTATGGATCAAAATAATTAATTTAATAAATAAATAAAATTACATATAGGGTATTTATATTTTATAAACATATATAAAATAATAAAACTAGACAATTTACAATTAGTTTGATACTTCGAAGTCTTAATAATTTTATATTCATTATAAATATTTATTGTATATTTTAGATTTTTCTTTTTCAAAAAATGTATCTTGGTATTAACACCAGTCAAATGCCCGGGTGTGGGTCAAGCCATGTCGACTAGGTTTGACAAGACTGGTTGTTGTACGATAGTGTTGTAATCGAACTAAACGAGACGAGCTTGGGTATTTTGAGCTCGTGTTCTTCTACGTTCAATCATTGTTCGTGTTCGTTTGTTTATTTTTTGAGAAATAAGCGTTCAAGCTTGTTGTTTAATAGTTCATTACAATTCGAGTTCGTTTGTACTAAAATAATTTAGGATACAAAAATTTTCAAATATGTTTAAATGGACTCCAAATTTGTACGTTCTCACTAAAAACAACCTATATTTTAGTTTGTTTTTTTATTAAAAATATCATGTGAATATAAAATAATAATAAATTAACATTACATTTCAGACGTTCCCGAACGAGCTCGTTCAATTATTAAACGAGATTAATTTTCTATTCAAATTCAATTCGATGAACAAACAAACGAACTCTTATCAAACACCAACGGACTTTTGTTCGCGAACGTTCACTTCGTTAACAGCCCTATTGACTGATTCAAAGGACTCATCCAGACTGTGTCGGGCTCTATGTCGGTCTCGGTCTAGGTCAAAAAATGTTGTGTTTAACCAAAACTTTGGGAGAAGTATTTTCATCTGATGGAACATATAAATTTTTTAAGTGACATATTTCACATTGCAATAAATGAAATTTTGCCATTACAGACCTCACATAGCAATTGGATATGTTCGAACACAAGTTAGTGCGTAACACAACCCAACTGTTAATATAGTCGATTTGTCATACATTTGCAATAAAAATGCATACTTATATCAGGCCACAACACACATGAATTTACTCCTGAGAAAAATATTATCTTGACTTCACCGCATAACTATTCGGCGCAGAATATAAAGTAATTTATGAGAAAGGTTTTGTGGACATTCCCTAGAAATGAAACAGAAAAAGCTGCATGAATTTCAGTTTCGATCATAACCTTTGCTTCAGGTTTGGTTTAGATTCAAAAGTCATCATCCCCCACAAGCAATGAACACTGGATAGAAAATCAAGAGCTCTAAGGCCCTTTCAAGAAAACGCGACAGTTTCTGAAAATGTTCATAGATAGACATTTGGTGCCTAAGAGAAAGGAGGTTTTATAGTGAGTGCCCTTTCCAGATGAGGGACTATTTCCCCAAACTACTCTTTCCCAATTATCTTTAACTTTAAAGACAGTTAACTGACAATATAATCAACCAATAGTGTCACCAAGTAAACATAAGAAAAAATCCTACGAAAATATCAACCTTTTTCAGCCAAAGACTCATCAAGTCAACAATGACATTGAAAAACCATCCACACTCTACGAACATCATCGTCAATTTGACTTATATTGACATGGTTCATCAAACTTGAGGCCTCAAAGAAAGGAAGTGTTAGAAAAGAGTGCCCTTCTGAGACACGAAGATTTTCCCCCCAAACTAGTCTTTCCCAATTGAGTATCTTTAATTGTAAAAACAATTACAATTAATATAATCAACCAATAGTGAAACCGAGTGAACGGAAGAAAAATCCTATGAAAGATCAACCTTTTCAAGCCTAAGACTCGTATCAAGTCAACAAGGACAATGAAAAAGAATCTACAATCCACGAGACGTCGTCAATTGACTTATAATTGCCATAGTTCATCAAACTTGAGGCCACAAGAAATGAAGTGTTTTTAGGGAAAAAAAATGCCCTTTTGAGACAAGGGTCTATTTCCACCCAAACTATCTTTCCAAATTGAATCATGATATAATCAATCAATAGTGCCACCGAGCGAACGTAAAGAAAAATCCTACAAAATGATCAACCTTTTCAAGCTAAAGAATCATCAAGTCAACAATGATACGAGAAAAGCATCAATAATGTACAACTATCATCATCAATTCACTTATATACATTGCCATAATGAATCCAAACTTGAGGCCCGAAAGAAGTTCACAAGAAGAAGCAACCAATGAAGCAAATAACCACAAATTTCTAAGGCAACTCATTTGTTCAAAAACCAGAGACACCAACAGTAAATGCGCTAAAGCACTAATCAGATCCAAAATCATCAATCACTTTTATTCCAAAAACAACAGTACCATTACATTAAACCTACAAACACTGGGGAGAAAAAAACTCATCTCAATTCTAAGGAAGAAAAACAGAGAGAGCATAAGGAACTAACACTCTCAGATGGCCTCAAGCATTTGCTCAGCGCTGCTAACACGCACAGCTCCTCCTTCCTCCAGATTCAGGATCTTCACAACTCCATTCTTGATGTACATGGCGTACCGTCTGGATCTCACTCCCAGTCCCACCGGATTATCTCTCAAATCAAGCTCGCACCCAATCGCTCGGGTGAAATCTCCATTGCCGTCGCTCAGCAGCAGCACCTCGTTGCGGATCTTCAGATCCGCCTTCCACGCCTTCATCACGAAGGCGTCGTTGACCGAGATGCAGACGATGGCGTCGATCCCCTTGGCCTTGAACTCGGCGGCCTTCTCCACGAACCCGGGGAGGTGATTCTGCGAGCAGGTCGGGGTGAATGCGCCGGGGACGGCGACGATGATGATCCTCCTGCCGGCGGTGAAGTCGGAGATGGGGACGGTCCGGACATCACCGGAGGGCTCGATGCAGGAGAGAGTGGCTTCGGGGAGCTTGTCGCCGACAGATATTACGGCGGAGATTTTGGGGACGGTGGAGTATTTGAGCGGCTGATGGAGGCGGCTGTGTGGGGAGGAGGAAGAGGTGGTGAAGGTAAGGGGTTTCTTGTGAGGGAAGAGAAGAGATGTGGGCTGCCTGAGTATGGGGGATGAGGAGGCGGCGAGCCTCGGAACGGCAATTGTGGCGGTTGTTGCGATGGCCGCCGCCATTGCTGTGTGTGTGTGAGTGTGAGTGTGAGTGTGACACTGTGTGAGTGCCAGTGTGGGGCTAAGGATAGATCGGGTTTTCGGATTAAATTTGGGATTTATTTATTTATCTTTTACAGATAAGATTTAATCCTGAAATAATTATCCACTTACGATGCAGAACTATGGGCCGTATATTGGCTCTAAAGCTCACAATCTACAAGCTTGACTATTGTGCAGTGAACTGGCAAATATGCAGCCCATTAGGCCCTTGTTTTCTAGGTTAAGTCGACGCTACCCGTTGCCTCTACTACTTGCATCATTTACCACACAATTTTTTTTTTTTTAAAACTAATTGTCAATCTAATATTTATGAGAAATTTACTCCCTTTATCATTGCTTAGACAAATAGTATCAAATATACGATCCCACAAACTTATCATCAGAAGTACGATTTTTTTAATAATTAAAATAAACTGAGCAGTTATTTTGTGGCCTGATTATCCATTAATTGGGAATCATTATCTTGTAGTTAATTAAGGCAAATATTATCTTCAGTTTTTAGAACAACCAACTACACACTATTAACCTCCCCAAAAAGAAAGGATACTCTCCCGTGAGTTTTTTTTTCTCTCTCAGGCAAACCACGTTAGAGCTTTTCAATTGAGGGCTTTTCTCTCCTTCAATTTTCTCTCAATCTCTCAGGCAAACGCTCGTAATCTATCAAATTCTGAAGGCCCCATGAAGATTGACGAGGAAATCGGCCTCAATTGTTTTGTCTTCGCCGGATTACTCTTGGCCGTCGGTCGAGAAGTCCCGCCGAGTTCTTTCATCGTCGACGGCAGCGACTCATCTTCTGCCGCCGCCTGGTCACTTTCCGCGGTGACCGTCTTTCCATGGTGATGAAGAATCTCTGTCGGCGACGTACACTCCGGCTTTTTCGATCTCCGCTCGCGGCCCGATCTCCCTGTGATAACAGCGTGCCTCCGCTGTTGCATCCACCTTTCACAACCGCCGCCTCGTCAAAATTTCACGGCGTCCAACCCGCCGTCGTTCTACTATTGCTACCCTCTCGCTGAAAATTCATTAGCCGTTCACAGAATACCGACTGATAGCGTCCGACGAGCTTGACGGTCCTCCTCTCTATTATAGTGATTAGATGTGTTGCAATAATATTTTGTGAATCAAATTATATTTCATACTTGTTTGTTAATTGTGGAATTCATCTTGTTTGGACTTTGGGAATGTTATTGTGCCTGTGAAGTCATTTGTCAGGGAAGTTTTTGTTGGATTTTTGTTGGTACATTGGCATGATGTTTTGTTGCATTTTTTGTTTTTTTTTCTCCCTTTTTTCTGGTGAACTTCAGTGAAGGAATATTGGTTCTATTGCTTTTGGATATTTGATTTGCACGAGGTTAACCTATCAAAATACACTTTTCGGACCATTTTTTCCATCCTGTATTGTAATTTTATCTTAAGTTTTTAAGAGACTTACACACACATACTTTAAGTAATGTGTTTACCTAAAGTATATTATACTGGGTTGTAAACACAAAATAGAGACATACGCGTTTAACTAATGTATATTACACCGTGTAGTAAACATCCGGGTAGATAAGCACACATACCGTTCATTGTACATATATTCATTTATATACACACAAGATAAACAACATATAAACATATTATTTATTCTGCAACATTCTACTAAAAGTAAGCAATAAGTAAACAACCATTAAGGAAAGCATTATATAACTTCAACAATATCATTACAATATAAAATGTAACAGAAAGTTATATATAAAGGTACGTAAACAGAATAGCCGAACATCCACAAGTAAATTTGGGCATCACGCTCAGAAGAAACTAAGTTTATATACATAAACGGTATATAAACGGTACATAAATAGAATAGCCGAACATCCACCGGTCCAGGTCGCGCGACCACCGGCCTCCGCCAGCCTCCATTAGCCCAAGCCCAGGGATGCAACGAGTTTCTTCAGTCGTGTAGCCGTAATCAGCCATGAATCTGAGACGGTAAATTTGGGCATCACGCTAACAAGAAGCTAACTGTATATACATAAACGGTATATAGACGGTATATAAACAGTACATAAACAGAATAGCCGAACGTCCATCGGTCCAAGTCGTGCGACCACCGGCCTCCGCCAGCCTCCATTAGCCCAAGCCCAGGGACGCAACCACTCGCCTATGAGGTTCTTGAGTCGAATGTTTAACAAATTATATCCTAAAGGATATGTTTGCTAATGTATAAACAACAATATATATTGCGTATATATTACGTATATCTTGAAACATGATACATACTTTTGTAAACTGAAGTATATTACTTGTATTTGTTTACTTATCCCCGTCATTTTAATATACAGAACATAAACGTTAAATAAACAAAAAAAAGTCAGATCACACATAAGCATAATAAGTTATACTGAACATAAACGGTAGATAAACAAAATATTATCACACACAAGCCATTGACGAACATATTGATTTTATCTGATAAAGATTTGCTTTCTCAAACCAAACATCAAATCAGTGTCCACGCTTTAATTGAAGCATTAAGACACATGAACACTTTTATCTCTGAACGTTTCGCCTACCACAATATTAGTATTAATGCATCCATCGACCACAACTCCAACTGTTCTGAAGTTGTTTATTTCCAATTTATCTTCCGTATATTTCGCTGTTTTCAACATAGTATCTGCAGAATGTTCGACCCTCTGTAAAAACCATCATCTTCTGAATCTTCTTGTGCCGTTTCCAGACGTCTTAATGCTGCTATATCACTCGAGGCCACATATTCCTGAAAATAAACAATTTTTCCTCAACAACAAGACGAACGAAATCTACTGTAACATCAAGAATTAAGAACTTCGCATCTTAATTCAACCAAAATCGAACCAACAACCCACAATAAACTCACATCTGCAACTTTTTATAACCCAAGCTCATAACACCTCAACACAAAAACCTTATTCAAGCCCAAGAATCAAACTTTAACATCAGCTAATCAAGAAACAACAATCTTACATTTTCAGTGGACCTAAAAACATAAATAAAGGTAACATAAACTAAAACAAAAAAACTAACCTCGTGACCATAATCACCGCCTCGTTAAACAGGGGCCCTCTCGGAGAAGGTTTCCTTGATGAGTGCAACGAAAAAATCTCGACATTGGTTAAGTTCGACGGTCGGGGGATCAACAAGAGTCTGGAGTTCGGCCCGCCGCCGTGCAACAGCCGCAAGAAGATGAAACTTGCATAGAGATTTGGGAGAAATTACAGAAAAGAATGATTCACATGAACAAGATATTTGGTAATTGATTGCGAGTGTAATTGCGTCAGTTTCGGATATCTTATTGACGGCGACTTTGGAACGGATGATAAGATCCGTAATGATGAAAATATATTTTCACAAAGTACTTAACTGATAAAAGATTTTATGAATCGTATTTTTAAAAATAAGTCTTATAACACACATAGATATATAAATTTCCCAATATTTATTGTGCACAATTCTCTGAGATAGAATCTCAAAAGACTCACAAACTCAAATGCGAAAGCCCAAAAGTCTTTGAATAAAAATAAAAAGGAAAGCCCAAAAGTCAGAGTCCCGCGAAATTCCCTCCAAAGCCCATATAAATCCGCAATCCGATACGGCCCAAAACACACAATTGATCGAAGAAAAAAAAAACTCAAAATGACAGAAAAAAACTCTTATTCGAAACTCAAATCGGTTCTATATTACGAAAGCGATTCTGAAAATGAGGTCGATGATGATGACGTTGATCTCGATCTTTCACTCTTCAAGCTCAATCTCGGCCCGAATAAGAAGCTTCTCGTGCTCTGTTTGGGAGGCTTGCTTGTTCACAGGGCCCACCTAAAGGAAAGCCACACTGTTCGTGGGCTTCGGCCCGATATTCGTTATGGGAATTTCTTAGGTATATTTTTTATTAAAAAAATGTTTTTCTTTTATAATTTTATCATAATTTCAATATGATTTACTTTTTATTTTTTTTAAAAAAAAAAAAAAAAATTGGTGCAGTTTTTAAGAGGCCATTTTGCACAGATTTTCTGAATTTTTGCTTCCAGCGGTTTGATGTCGCGCTTTGGTCCTCTGCAAGAGAGTTAGTAACAGACACGATTTTATTCAATTATTATTAAACGAAACATGTAATATTGGTGTTGTTTTTGTCCTTATTTTTTTGCTTATCCAATAATGTATGCTAAAATAATATTTTGGGTTGAATAGGCACAATATTGAAGGTGTTTTGAGCAGCATAACTAGTGGGGCGAGGAACAAGTTCGTGTTTGTGTGGGTAATGTCTGCAATTAATTATTATTATATTATATATTATAGCAAAAGAAAAAAAAATATAGAAAATTTTAATGTTTTGTATTATTTTATTTTATTTATTACAGAATCAAGAAGAATGCACTGATTCTGGATATGGCTGCCTTCACAAAAAGCAGAAGCCCCTTTTTCTTAAAAGAATGAAGGATTTATGGGAAAATAAAAGCTACAAAGAAAAATATTCTGCCTCAAACACATTGTTAATTGATGACGAACCACATACAGCCCTGCTTAATCCTGTATATATATATATATTTTTTTTTTAACTATATCTCATTTTATTGTTTATTTCATTTTTTTATAACAAATAATTTTTAAATCATATGTATTTTTTGCAGCCCGACACAGCAATTTTTCCCCAACCTTACAAAAGCCACAACACGGAGGACACATTTCTAGGTTGGCATTGCTTGAAATGTACTTACATTTTGGTGCATTAGTTAATATATTCAAAAATATGTGCTAAATTGTAGACTTTGTAGTGATATGAATTTTATTTTTTTTGTATGTTTTTTTTTTTTTTCTATTTTCAAAGTTTAATATTGGTACTTGTCATAGGTCCTAATGGCGATTTGCGTAAATTTCTTGACGGGCTAACGGATGCTGAGGATGTTCCATCGTACGTGAAAGATCACCCAATCGGACAGCCCGGGATAACGCCATTTCATCCCGATTGGAAGTATTATGAGAAGATTGTTCTTCGTTTTCGGAAGAAGAATGAAGAAGCTGAAAGTTCTACAGATAATTGATACCAAATGATCAAATTATGGGATAAATGTTAAGATGAATGATGTTTATTATATTATGAATATCACAAGTTGGAAGATGGGAATGGAGTGAATTATTAAGAATGATGAATTATTATTATTTACCTATATTTTGGTACTTTATTCGTTGGTTGTGATATAAGTAATGAATAAAATTGTTAAACGAAACGATTTGTTCGTGAGTATTTGGAATGTTCCGACTACAATCTGGATAAGTCGAGCAAAAAGTAAGAACATGTTGTAACTTGTAATCGAGTATTTGGTTTGATTTTGATTATTAGCAGAGTCAAGCCTCGATAAGTCGGCATTTGGCTATGTTTGGTAACCAAATAAGCTAGGTTATAGCTTATTTGGTTATCTTATAAGCTTTTTGTATTCAAATAAACTTCGTTTGGTAGAACGAGCTTTTTTAAAAAGCTCGAGCATATCTCATAAGCTTCTTTGGGTAGCTTTTCAAATACGCTCGTTGAAATTTTTATTTCAGCTAGCTTATTAGCTAATTTTACTAAGGATATGTTTGGTAAAACTAGCTGATAAGCTAGCTTATAGCTTATCAGTAATTTTCGAGCTTATAACTTATAGCTTATGACTTATAGCTGAAAAGCTAGCTTATATGATAAAATTGTTTGATAAAATTAGCTGAAATAAAAATTTTAACAGGCTTATTTGAAAAGCTACCCAAAGAAGCTTATCAAATAAGTTCGAGCTTTTTAAATAAGCTCGTCCTACCAAACGGAGCTTATTTGAATACAGAGAACTTATAAGTTAACCAAATAAGCTATAAGTTAGCTTATTGGTGTACCAAACATAGCCTAAGCACTTTTATCATATAAGCTAATTTTTCAGCTATAAGTTATAAATTATAAGCTATAAGCTCAAAAAACACTTATAAGCTATAAACTAGCTTATTAGCTAACAAGTGGTTTTATCAAACATAGGCATAGTTTTATTTTATCATTTCTATTGCTAATCACGACAAGTTCAAAGACGAGTGTAAAGTCACTAGGCATGATAATAACAAATATGAGTAGAGTACGAACTAACTACAATTTACCAAAAAACTTTAAAATAAATCTTTCGAAATTCGAGTATTCACTTGTTTTTGTTTCAAGCATACAAAATTGCAAGAGGCTTTTCAAAAACTGTACGTTTGAGTATGGGTTTACATACCAAAAAAGAAACCTTGAATGGATGTTTGTAATCAAGATTGAATTCAAAGTACTTTTTTAAGGTAACAAAACAAGAAAAGTACATATTGGATTATCATTCATCACTAGCAAGAGAAACATGTATATATATTCCTGAAAAAAATATGGAAAAAATGTTTCGATTTTCACCTGTATTGGGCTAGCTGCCATGAGTAAACCTGCAACACCACCACCAATCACGCGGCCATCTGGGCTAGCTAATGACACACTTAATCCTCCACAACGGCTTATCATCCCACCATTATCAGAAATCATGTAAGAACCCGTTAACGTTTGATGAGGTCAAAGACGAATGGCTCCGGTTCCTCGTCAGGTCCTCTTCGGTTCGAATGGTAGGTCGACGGGTATGGTTCAGTCCAAGCACTTCGAGCTCGTCGGTACCTGCAAAGCGCCGGAATTGTTCCGGCGCAAAACCCTCCGACGCCCAAGTCAGTGTCTGGCAATAAAGAGGGAGAGAGAGAGAGAGAGAATTGTGCGTAATAAGTGTTGCAGTGACATAATGAATAATCAATTCATCTTACCCTTCAATCGGCGAGTTTACCTCTTAAATAGTAGTTGGCTGTGCGGTCCTCGGGACCATAAATACTTAGACGTTCATTGTCCGAGCACCTGTCATATGATGACTTCGAGGGCCAAGGGTCGACCTTAAGCCCCTTCACCGATCGGCGCTATGGTCGGGGGTCGACTCCTTGGACCAATCGACCCTTAGGTCCGGTCGACCCTTGAGCGGGTCGATGCACGGTCGAGATAAGGATCGAGACTTCCGACTTGGGCATCTATCGACATAGTGTAGACCGGTCGATGTTGGGGCGCATTGGTCAATGCTGGGGCGCATAGGCCGATGTTGGGGCGCATAGGCCGCTGCTGGGGCGCATAGGCCGCTGCTGGGGCACATAGGTCGATACTGGGGCGCATAGGCCGCTGCTGGGGCGCATAGGTCGATGTTGGGGCGCATAGACCGCTGCTGGGGTGAATAGGTCGATGTTGGGGTGCATTGCCGCTGCTGGGGCGCATATGCTGATGTTGGGGCGTATAGGCCGCTGCTGGGGCGCATATGCTGATGTTGGGGCGCATAGGCCGCTGCTGGGGCGCATAGGCGGACAATAAGCTCATCTCACTATTGTCTTGCGGTCGACTTGGGTCCAAGTTCGACCGCCTGAGTGGGTCGACCCCCAATCGGCCCCGGGTATATGCTCGACCGTTTGAGCAGGTCGAACCCCCCACGGTCCTTCTCATCCAGCTCGGCCATTAGGCTTAACCCAAGTCGGTACTATAATCCCTATCAACTACTCCCCCCTATTTACGAGTATACGAAGCGAAGCTTGTTTAATTGTAAATATAATGTTCATGCACCTTGCTATGGCTATCTCCTAACATTCCTTCAAGGAGGAAGAGATTTTTCTCTGTTAGGCCTCCACCCGACATCTTCCACTTTTTGTTGAAGTGGCTACATAGCCGCTTTCCCAACGACGTAAGCCTAATAGGCATCCCCATTGGGGGATCGTTAGTCCGGGAGTGGAACAAAACAGCCTGTCAACATAGTGTTCCATTACTTGACTACCAAGAACCCACCTCACTACTATACTATAGGTATTAATAATCAACCCTCCATTATTTGGTGGGTCGACGACATCGCGCGGGGCGACCACCCTGCGTGGGTCGAGCTTGTTGCGCCGGTCGACCACATCGCGCGGGTCTATCGCGCGCCCGCGTGGGTCGATCGCGCGCCCATGTGAGCTCGATCAGGCGAGATAAGGATCAAGCCCAAGAGCTCGATCACGCGTAGTCGGGGATCGAGCCTGAGAGCTCGATCACGCAACAGGATCGTGTATGGCCTTGATCTATGACCTTCGACGTACGAGCCTCGGTCTTGGGAAGCAATGTGTGAGGTTCGATGTGTAAGGTTCATTTTTTGTGGTAAACGCATGGTTCATGATGTGTACGTGTTCGATGCATGATCTGCGGTCTTTCCTGTGTCGACCGGTAATACGCCGAACCTGCGAGGTGTCGATCTGTGGTGCACAGTCTGCGATGCATCGACACGCCGGTCTACGCTGTATCGACTGGCAAGGCATCGATCTTTCGACCTGCAAGGCATCGACGAACAAAGTGTCGACCTGCGAGGCATCGGTCTGTGTTGCATCGACCGGCGAGACGTCAACGTGCGGAACGTCAACGTTGGTCTGTTATTCGCACATAAAGAATTGGAGCTCGACCCACGTATGAAGTGTCGGAGCTCGACCCCTGCTTTCGAGGTGTCCGAGTACGATCCTCGCGCTTGAGGTATCGCACTTGAACGCGGTATATCGTGCCGTGGTGCGTCAACTAGTGACGTATCGGTCTTCGTCGTGTCGACTTGCGTGGTGTTCGACATGCGTGGTGTTCGACCTTCGTGGTGTTGACCTGTGTGGTGTTCGACCTACTTGGTGTAGACCTGCGTGGTGTTCGACCTTCATGGTGTTAACCTGTGTGGTGTTCGACGCACATGGTCCTTGATGTTGTGTGTTCGACGCATGGTTCCTTCAGGATTTGGACCTTCTTGCCCATGATGTGTCTCTTACTTCGGGTTTCGACCCTCGCCTTGTAAAGATCTATCCCCAGTTCAATGGTGTTGTAAGGATCGATACCCGGTGTCTAGGTGCGAGATCGATACCTAGTGTGGTTCGATCCCAGTTCAGGTCATGACTCAGTTGGCTCGATTCATGAGGCTTTATCCCATATCAACTACTCCACCCGATTTATGAATATACGGGTATATTTCACGCGTGTAAGCATAAATACCACTAGAGGCCCTTGAGGTGTCGACCCTTGAGGCGTTGGCCTTTGGGGTGTCGATCCTCAAGGCATTTATCTGTGAGGTTATAGACCCTAGACCCTTGAGGCGTGCGGTTGTCGACCCTTGAGGTAATCTACCCTTGAGGTCGTTGAACCTTGAGGTGTCGGCCTTTGGGGTGTCGATCCTCAAGGCATTTAGATGTGAGGTTATCGACCTTTGACCTTTGAGGCGTGGGTCATCCACATTGCATCGGTCGACCACCTGTGTGGGTCGATGACATCGCGTGAGGAAACATCGTGCGGGGCGACATCACGTGGGCGACCACCTTGCGTGGGTCAACCACGTCGCGTAGGACGACGTCGTGCAGGGCGAACGCATCGCGCCGGGCGACGACATCATGTGTGTCGACCACCTTGCATGGGTCGACCACCTCGCTTAGGGTGACTTCGCGCGGGGTGACGACATCACGTGGGCCGACCACCTTGCGTAGGTCGACCACGTCGCGTTAGGCGACATTGCGTGGGGCAACGGCATCGCACGGGGCGACATCACGTGGGCGGCCACTTTGCGTGGGTGAACCACGTCGCGTAGGACGACGTCGTGTAGGGCGAACGCATCGCGTGGGGCGACGATATCATGTGTGTCGACCACCTTGCATGGGTCGACCACCTCGCTTAGGGTGACTTCGCGCGGGGTGACGACATCACGTGGGCCGACCACCTTGCGGGGGTCGACCACATCGCGTTAGGCGACATCGCGTGGGTCGGCCATGTCGCGTTAGGCGACGTTGCGTGGGACAACGGCATCACATGGGGCGACATCACATGGGTGGCCACCTTGCGTAGGTCGACTACGTCGCGTATGGTGACATCGCGCGGGGCGACATCACGTGGGCGACCACCTTGCGTGGGTCGACCACATCATGTAGGGCGAAATCGCGCGGGGCGACATCACGTGGGCGACCACCATGCGTGGGTCGACCACGTCGCGCGGGGCGACATCGTGCGGGGTAACGACATCATGTGGGTTGATCACCTTGTGTTGGTCGACCACGTCGCGCGGGGCAACATCGCGTGGAGCGACTTCGTGCAGGGCGAAGGAATCGCGCAGGACTACAACATCACGTGGGTAGACCACTTTGCGCGGGGCGACGACATCATTTGGGTCGATCACCTTGCGTGGGTCGACCACGTCGCTTGGGGCGAAGGCATCACGCGGGGCGACGACATTGCGCGGATGACCTAGCCTTAAGGCTTTTTATCGACACACATGGCTCTGAAAGACTATTGGCCGATCGTTGCTCCAGTCGAACTTTTCCCAAATGCTTTTAGTCGACCCTATGGCTTTGAGAGATGCCCCGGGTGACTTAGCCTTACGGCTTCTAGTCGACCCTATGGCCCTGAACATCTTTGCCCCAGATGGTTTAGCCCGAAGGCATCTGATCAACCTGCGTGGCCTTGAACACTTTTACCCCAGGTGATCTAGCGTTAGAGCTTCTAGTCGACCCGTGGAGCCTTGAAACTTATTGCCCCCTGGGTGATCTAGCCGTAAGGCTTCTGATCGACCCGGGTAGCCTTAAAAAATTATTGCCCCCGGGTGATCTAGCCCCAAGGCTTCTGATCGACCCGTGCGGCCTTTAAAAAATTATTGCCCCCTGGGTGATCTAGCCGTAAGGCTTCTGATCGACCCGAGTAGCCTTAAAAAATTATTGCCCCCGGGTGATCTAGCCCCAAGGCTTCTGATCGACCCGTGCGGCCTTTAAAAAATTATTGCCCCCTGGGTGATCTAGCCGTAAGGCTTCTGATCGACCCGGGTAGCCTTAAAAAATTATTGCCCCCGGGTGATCTAGCCCCAAGGCTTCTGATCGACCCGTGCGGCCTTTAAAAAATTATTGCCCCCTGGGTGATCTAGCCGTAAGGCTTCTGATCGACCCGAGTAGCCTTAAAAAATTATTGCCCCCTGGGTGATCTAGCCGTAGGGCTTCTGATCGACCAGCGCGGCCCTAAAAAAATTATTGCCCCCGGGTGATCTAGCCTTAAGGCTTCTGATCGACCCGTGCGGCCTTAAAGAACTATTGCCCCCTGGGTGATCTAGCCGTAGGGCTTCTGATCGACCCGTGCGGCCTTAAAGAACTATTGCCCCCTGGGTGATCTAGCCGTAGGACTTCTGATCGACCCGCGTGGCCTTATAAAATTATTGCCCCCAGGTGATCTAGCCCCAAGGCTTTTGGTCGACCTGCGTGGCCTTGAAAAATTATCGCCCCGGATGATCTGGCCCCAAGGCTTCTGATCGACCCGCGTGGCCTTGAAAGATTATTACCCCAGGTGACCTAGCCCCAAGGCTTCTGGTCGACCTGCGTGGCCTTGAAAAATTATCGCCCCGGATGATCTAGCCCCAAGGCTTCTGATCGATCCGTGGGGCCTTGAAAGATTATTACCCCAGGTGACCTAGCCCCAAGGCTTTTGGTCGACCTGCGTGGCCTTGAAAAATTATCGCCCCGGATGATCTAGCCCCAAGACTTCTGATCGATCCGTGGGGCCTTGAAAACTTCTTGCCCCAGGTGATCTAGCCCGAAGGCCTCTGATCGACCTGCGTGGCCTATAAACTTCTTGCCCCAGGTGATCTAGCCTTAGAGCTTCTGATCGACCCGTGGGGCCTTGAAAACTTCTTGCCCCAGGTGATCTAGCCTTAGAGCTTCTGATCGACCCGTGGGGCCTTGAAAACTTCTTGCCCCAGGTGATCTAGCCTTAGAGCTTTTGATCGACCCGTGGGGCCTTGAAAACTTCTTGCCCCAAGTGATCTAGCCTTAGAGCTTTTGATCGACCCGTGGGGCCTTGAAAACTTCTTGCCCCAGGTGATCTAGCCTTAGAGCTTTTGATCGACTCGTGGGGCCTTGAAAACTTCTTGCCCCAGGTGATCTAGCCCGAAGGCCTCTGATCGACCTGCGTGGTCTTGTACACTTTTACCCCAGGTGACCTAGCTGTAGAACTTCTGGTCGACCGCGGGGCCTTGAAAATATTTGTAGGTGACACATAATGTATCTGCCCACCCGATCTCTACACGTAAACCCCCCGAGGCTCGGAGTGACAAGAAAGATGAGAAATTGAACATAAATATCATAATATCCTCAATTAGGACATACACCAACAATGAGATGCCTCATAAATTGCAAATGATATTGATAAATTCTCTCATATAAGAGATAAAGACAAGAGCTTCAAACATAACAAGCTAGAACACAACAATTGTCCTGGATCAAGCGATGATCATGCGGTCTATCGGAATGGAGTTCACATAATTGTTTGGACTTCACGCAACAAGCGGTAGGTGAACAAACCTAAAGTCAATATCGCTGGACACTTCTACGACAACACCTTTAGGGGATTCTCAATCATCCCCAAAGTTTCAATCAAGATTATCCCGAATTCATCATCCCACGTAAATAAATTTATTCAACTTTAACAATAAGAAGCAATAGGCTATATCATGACTAATATTTAGCCTCAACAGCACTAATGACGTTATTCTCTAACACCTCTAAGTGACGCATAATGGTCCACAAATTATTGTCAGGCTATAAATTGTTCTTTCATTCAGGTATTATGCCAAACACCTCGCGAGCATGTCAACCAACATATAAAAGAGAAGAATTAAACAGTGATTTAGCCGCCCAACATAGTTTTCAACAATTTTAAGGTTACCGATAATTGTCGTGACCACCACACGTTCCTTTGCTTGGCAGCACCTTTCAATGTGGTCACAAAGGCCCGACAGCAGACCGCGTCATTGTACCTGCGCAACACTGCTATGTTCTCGAAGCTTCTCAGATGTCGAGCCGGGTCGGTAGAGCCATCATACGCCATGGTAGGTTCTCGAAATCCCTGCGGCAGCTCTGCTCCCAACACCTCGTCTGCAAATGGGTGACGTGGATGACACGGACTTCGACACCCATTGACCTTCTCTTGAAGCTCGCACAACCGCTTCGCCATGCGCTCTAAGACCGAGTCTCTGGGCGATTGTGGTAAGGCCCCTGATGAGTGGACCGATTGCTCTGGCTCATGCCCCTGTCCTCCCACGACCACCTATTGCCCGACTGGTCGAGTTGTTGCCTCTGGTCGAGCTATCACCTCCCGCGCCTCGGGTTGATCCTCTACCCCTTGAGCTCTGGGTCGAACAACTGCTTCCCTAACCGGCGGTGAGACCGACGCCATTCTCGCTTCCTCCGCGGTAGCTATCATCCCCTCCAACGCGCTAGGCGTGATCTGTATGGGCTGCTCCGGAGTGAGAAGTTGGATGTTTGCTCCAGTCCCCTCCGCCGTCTTCCCATGGTGCTGCGTTTCCTCTCCGTTTGTCCCACGGCGTAATACGCCCGCGCCCGGCCTTGTTGGCGTCTCCATTACATCTGTTAGCGTCGGGCTATTTGCAATTGCTCAAGACTGCTCCGGCGGCTAAGGTCACCGGCTTGCTTCCGCACAACACCCATCTCGGCGGCGGCCCCGCCCCCACACGACGCTTGTGCAACCACGAGTTATCATCTTCCCTCTGCTCCTATTCTCTTTCTTGCTCCATCTTCTTCACTTCGTTTTCTCCTCCTTTACTAGATTTCCTATTGCTATGTATGAGATACCACCAGATCAACGCCGGTTGAGCTAGGGTTTTCCACAGACGGCGCCAATTTGATGAGGTCCAAGACGAATGGCTCCGGTTCCTCGTCAGGTCCTCTTCGGTTCGAATGGTAGGCCGACGGGTATGGTTCAGTCCAAGCACTTCGAGCTCGTCGGTACTTGCAAAGCGCCGGAATTGTTCCGGCGCAAAACCCTCCGACGCCCAAGTCAGTGTCTGGCAATAAAGAGGGAGAGAGAGAGAGAGAGAGAATTGTGCGTAATAAGTGTTGCAGTGACATAATGAATAATCAATTCATCTTACCCTTCAATCGGCGAGTTTACCTCTTAAATAGTAGTTGGCTGTGCGGTCCTCGGGACCATAAATACTTAGACGTTCATTGTCCGAGCACCTGTCATATGATGACTTCGAGGGCCAAGGGTCGACCCTAAGCCCCTTCACCGATCGGCGCTATGGTCGGGGGTCGACTCCTTGGACCAATCGACCCTTAGGTCCGGTCGACCCTTGAGCGGGTCGATGCACGGTCGAGATAAAGATCGAGACTTCCGACTTGGGCATCTATCGACATAGTGTAGACCGGTCGATGTTGGGGCGCATTGGTCAATGCTGGGGCGCATAGGCCGATGTTGGGGCGCATAGGCCGCTGCTGGGGCACATAGGTCGATACTGGGGCGCATAGGCCGCTGCTGGGGCGCATAGGTCGATGTTGCGGCGCATAGACCGCTGCTGGGGTGAATAGGTCGATGTTGGGGTGCATTGTCGCTGCTGGGGCGCATATGCTGATGTTGGGGCGTATAGGCCGCTGCTGGGGCGCATATGCTGATGTTGGGGCGCATAGGCCGCTGCTGGGGCGCATAGGCGGACAATAAGCTCATCTCACTATTGTCTTGCGGTCGACTTGGGTCCAAGTTCGACCGCCTGAGTGGGTCGACCCCCAATCGGCCCCGGGTATATGCTCGACCGTTTGAGCAGGTCGAACCCCCCACGGTCCTTCTCATCCAGCTCGGCCATTAGGCTTAACCCAAGTCGGTACTATAATCCCTATCAACGTTAAAATCTCAAATCGACCCTGCATTCATTCATGTTCAGAGTAACAAAAACAAATAGCTAAATATAGTAACAAAAAAGAAATAGCTAAAATGCAAATTTGTTTCATACAAAAATGGGGCATTTTCGGAGAAAGGTACTTAATTAGCTATAGATATGAACATCAAGAGGGCTACTTAATAGCCTCAAACTCTTTTGCAACAACAGCTTATCTGAGTTAACAAAAATTATTCAAGAATTAAGATATAAGCCAATATCTTTTTTATAAAAACAAAAGAATCATGCCTCGTAAGTCAATAAACCTCCGGACGAGCCAGGTTGACGAAGAGTAACGTTCGAGACAGATCCATTAGCAGATAGAACACAAATTCCTCTATGATCCTTCTGTGCAAATGTGAGTATCTTCCTAGCAACATCCTGAACAAATAAATAAATTATAATGTCTTTAAAGGTCCATTCAGATCTGGGAGAGTAAAATATCATTTTTTTTTTTTTTTGAGAGCTGACTAAAGTTGTGATTTTTTACCTCTCCAGCATGTACAATTACTACATGGGGTGTGAAATCCCCTCCTGCTGTGTTTGCAAGCACTTCACCTGTACAAGTAAATATCAAACAAACATAAAGACAGAATTTTTACAATGTATGTAATAATAATAATAATAACAATACACAATACACCTGAAAAAAAAAATGCATATTTTCACCATATAATGGTATTGATTCTATTTATGTTATTTTTTAAAGTATGATAGTGTTTGCTAAGTTCTATATGAAAAGGGACCAATTTACCTGAAGATTAAGGTAAGTTAAATTTCTATTGAGTGTTTGCTAAATCTTGAACCAGAGAATTAAGCAAGTGATTCTCAGTCTAAAGATTTAAAAAAAAAAAAAATAGATGAAATTCACTCTTCCTAGAATCTGCAAAGTCACCAAACACATGCACAGAAAATTAGTGTCAGGAGAAATTAGCTTAGTCAAAATCAGATTATGACAACCTAATATCAAATTTTCATGGCTATTAAGCTTTATTACAGAGTCAGCTTTGAGTTTTGACCTCTCCAAATCTGACCTCTCAATACAAGTCACAGAACAGAAGAAAAATTATTAAAAATAAAGAAGGATTGACAGTAACTGAGCTGTAATTGCAAGCAAATCTACACCAAACTGTGAATAAAGTAAAGTTGAAGGAGAAAAATGCAAGAGAATAAAAATAAATAAAGGAAGGCATTGAGTAGCCTAGTAGGGTTGTAGCTTTTACCCAAAGAAGCCATAGCATTAGCCGGCCAGCTTGTCGGCCCAGAATGATGCTTGCCGCGTCCCCTTTTTGGGCCGCCGGAGTTCTCGTACGACGGCGGCGTTGACAGGGTGAACCCAGTCTGTGGCGGCGCCGCCAAAGGAGACGACTTTATGTACGCCGGGTTCAAGTTCCCCTCCGCGTCGTACTTTCTTGGCCTCCCCCTCTTCTTCTTCCCCGACGACAAATCGCTGCCGCCGCCGCCGCCGCCGCCGCCGGAGCCACTACTCACTAAGCCCCCTCCGCTGACGCCGAAAACCCCACCACCAGCCTCCGCCGCCGGAGGGCCTGCAGCCGTAGCGGCCGCCGCGGCTGCGTGCTCCACGCTTATGTTCACGTTTATCAGTCCATGAACAGAGCCGCCTCCGCCGCCGGAAGCAACGGCGCCGTGGTCGGCGTAGTCCCCGACGCCGCTCAACGGCGGCGACTCGGATTCCGGATTGCCGCTAAGCGAACCCGAATCCGTGCTCTCCCTGTCCTCCATCTCCATGACCCTTTCTAAATTAGCCTGTAAAGATCTCGTTTTTTCCGGCGAACTAAAGTCAAAAATTGAAGAAAAAAATAAAATATAGAAACAATTTTTTTGAAAGATTATAGGGTTAAAAAAATGGCCGCATTTAATGCTACCATAAATCATGGAATGTGTTATATTTAAATTTTAAATTTCAAAAAAACTTGCCTAATTGTATTTTAATATTTTTTTGGAAAATATTTAAATCCCAATGATTGAAATAAAAAAATTCATCTTTATCTTAGTAACAAATCTATAATAATATATGATATGACAAGGACAACACATTAGATTAGGGAATAATTTGAGTATTTGTCAGGCAAGATTGACGAGATTAAAATTAATTACCTAATTAATTAGTATATGGACAATGGACACTAATGATTATTCATTTTTTGTTTAATTAGATTTATGTAGAAAAATTTAAATTTTTTGCCAATAAGATTGTGAATGAATATCAAATAATATTACTAAAAACCTAACAATTTCGCAGTCAAATCTCTTTTCTTCTGGGCTTTTGCCTTTTCCCTTTGGAAAGGGAGGATCATACTATCAGCTTAAAATAAAAATTTCGAAAATTTTATATAGGTTTATGTATTATATTCCAATGCAAGGAATAATAATTCTTTCAAACAAAATGCTCCAAATTACGTATTTCATACCAAATGTTAGCATTTGCGAGATATACACAAATTCGTATAATATTTTCGTGAAATTGGTAAAAAAAAATAAGAATTAATGGATGGATCGGTACAAAATATGATAAAAGAGATATAATCAAAATCACTTGATATGCGATACATTACATATAGACAATGTTGATAGTAACAATATAAAACTGGTATATAAGACATATAGACAATATCTATTATGTAAATATTCTCTCATTAAGTTCAACTTGAGATATTAGACTGTAATACTCATTATTTACTCAAATAATATTTTAGATACTTTTTTTACACATTCAATACTCACACACATAATATTTTACACTTTTTAGATTTTTTTTTTGCCCATCCTATACATTAAAGTTTATATGTAGGTGCTTTTAGACATTTTGTCTTTACATAATAGTTTAGTGGAAGTTTAGACGACTTAACATTTTTTAAGAATAATGTAAAATATTTTAAAGAAACTTTCTATGGTTTGTAAACTTAAAAAGAGTCTCTATGGTTTGAAGCAGGCTTCTAGAGAGTGGAACAAAGAACTCACTCAGAAACTTTCTAACTTTGGGTTGAATCAATCACCTTATGATCACTACCTGTTTACTTTAAAGAAATGGAACAGTTTCATGGCCATTTTGGTTTATGTAGATGATGTGCTATTAACTAGCAATGATGAACATATGGTGGCAGCATTGAAAGGTTTCCTTGACAAGGATTTTACTATTAAAGATCTTGGGGCAGCTAAGTACTTTCTTGGAGTTGAAATAGTTAGGAATGCAGAAGGAACTTCTTTATGCCAGAGGAAGTACATACTTGACATGCTGGGAGATGTGAATATGTTGGACTGTTCTACAGTCAAAACTCCTTTACCTTGTGGGCTTAAATTGCAAAGTGAAGATGGCAAACCTCTTGAGCAACCAAAAATGTACAAGAGAGTCATTGGGAGACTTTTTTACCTCAATATTACAAGAGCAGACATCACTTATAGGGTTCAACAGCTGAGTTGTTAATGCTCCTTATACTTCACATTGGGCAGCAGCTCTACACATCCTCAAGTATCTCAAAGGAACTTCCTCTCATGGACTATTCTTCCCAACAACAGGTTTTTTCATCTTTCCTCCTATAGTGATGCAGATTGGGCTTGTTGTAAGGATACAAGGAGGTCTGTTACAGGGTACTGCATATTTCTTGGCAACTCTATGATCTCATGGAAGACTAAGAAACAGCAAATTGTGTCTCGATCATCAGCAAGGCAGAATATCGAGCTATAAGTACCACAGTGTCTGAACTGCTATGGATTTCCTACATTTTGCAAGTGTTTGGCATTAATGTGCCTCACCCTATTCTTTTATGGTGTGAATAAAGCAGCTATTCATATCTCAGAACCCTGTCTTTCATGAAAGTACCAAACATCTTGACATTGATTGCCATTCATACGGGATAAGTACAAAGAGGGTTTTGTGGAACCGATGCATCTTGCTTCAAAATTGCAGTTGGCAGACATTTTTACCAAGACTTTACCAACTTCTCAAGCACATCTTCTCTTGTCCAAGATGAGCCTGTATCAACCACGCTCATCTTGACGGGAGGGGGGTGTTGGAATATTGTGTTTGACCATTTTGATGCAGCAAATAACAAGAAGATGCAGTGATGAAGATTTAAACTTTTAGATATATCTGTTATGAACCTATGAAAAACGTGTTAGCAATTTTATAAGTGTGTGGCGTGTTTGTTCAGCTTGTGCGACGTCGTTTTGGGTTAATGCCCTTTAAATGATAAAACGTAGTCGTTTTATCTTGCATGTAAATAATAAATGTTGTATGAACTTCGTGGTTTGTTTGTATGGAAAAATTCCCAAAAATGAAAATTATTGGTCACTCAAAAATCCTCTCGCACTTTTCTTTCGATTGATTGAAGTTTCACGGTGATGGCCCGAGACGAGCGTTGTCTGCTTCTCAACACGGATTCTGGTACTTTGTGCATTTTTTCACTTGAAAAGCCCTAATCTTTTGTATATTTTTTTTCGAACGACTAATTGGAGAAAATGGAAAAGGAGTCCTAATCTTTTTTTTTTCACTTGAAAAGCCCTATTCTTTTGTTCTAATTGTAGTATGATACAATGAGGAATGATTTTGTGTAGAACTCTTTAAGTCCTCTGTGAGTGGTAACGTGTAAATAGTGTCATATCTTCGGTATTCCTCTGCTTCCAATAGCAACTTATGAATTAGATGAAAGATGATATTAACTAGGGCTGTGTAATTAGTCAAATGATATCTCTCTCACTAGAAATAATTTTTTTAGGACTGTTGTCTGTAATCGCTGAACAGTCGGGATTTGTTTAATATATTATATTTTTGTGTGTATTGTGGCAGCTATTTCATAAAGTTATTGATTGAGAAGAAATACCCACTGCAGAAGATGCTTTGGTTGCTCATTTTATGAGATTCTATGAGGACTCGAGAGTACTGACTACGACCAGGCATTAGGCGCTTCTTGCATTTGCACAAAGGTTTGGTTTTTTAATTTTTTTTTAATTTATTTGTTTTGATTTTTCTCCATTGTCTTTATTCTCTCATGATTGTCTTATATATTTAATTCATTTTTTATTACTTCATGTTGAAACCATTTAGAGTGGTTTTCTATCCTAAAACAAGGGTAAGAAATGAAAGAAAAGAAAAAATAAAAAATCTAAAAGAGAAGAAAATGAGAGGATACTATATTGTTTCTTATATTTTTATCATTGCAGTGGGAATGGAGCTCATTTGGTCAAGTCTTGGTCAACGTATATGATGGGTCTACTTCTGGATCTGGAGTAAACCGGTGGTTGTGAGTTCAGATCTGCTTGAACCGCCTTGAAACCGTCTCTAGACCACAAGAGTACCTGCAAAAACTCAACGCCGGGGGTGTTTCCGGCGTAGAGCCTCCGACGCTCAAGTCAGTATGAGAGTGATGAAGAAGGGCTGCGCAGCAGCTATAGGGAGAATGGCAATGAATGAGAGTTAGGGTTTAGGGTTACCTCCTCTCCTTTATATAGGAGTGAATACTTACGCGAAGTGTCCAAAGTACCCCGATCGGTGGACCTGGAAGGTCCAAAATGCCCTGGTCGATTCGTCTCCCCTTAGTGCTGAGTCACCGCAAGATTCCTTCTTATCCCCACATGATATGTAGGACTCTACGTATATTACAAGTGTGATGAGTCGTCATCCCATCTTCGTTACTCGAGGTATGCGAAGTCGACTTCGAGATCTAGGAAGTCGACTCGTGGATATGTGCGGGTTCGGAGGCTACGCTTGACCAGCTCTGTGAGGCTAAGTCGTCTTCAGAGAGTCGTCTTAGTTCAGTCGACTCCTGGGAGTCGATTTAGGATATTTGGATGACCGGGAGCCACTCTCGCTGTTCCTCTTCTTATTGATATCGATTAGTGAGAGTCGATAGGTTAAGGTCGACTCGATGGAGTCGACTAGACCGATCTGCTTCTTCTTGATTGCTCTTAGTGGAATCGTCCTTAGGGAAGTCGATTTGGGTATGTCGACGGAGTCATGTCGACATTTGGGTAATTCGAGTGGTTTGTTGGTTGAGTAAGGAGCTTCTGGACCGGGCTACACTTATGTGGCTATATCATCTAGTCCCCCCCAAAAATTACTCTAAGCAGTCGACTGCTTAAGAGTAAATTTGGTGAAACATAATTGTCTCGATTTCGCTCGTATTGATCTCTTTGACGACTCGTCTCGTCAGTCGACTAGGGTGTGCTCCATCCTCATGATGGCTCTTTCGGATAAGTCTGACATTCTGACACGCCCATTTCAAATTTCAAACTTTTGAAAACCCTAAAGTGACGCGCGTCATCTCCTTCGCCGCCTCTTCGAATTCCGTGCCTCATCAGGATCGTTGGTTTTCTTGGTGATCCAACGGTTCACGTCCGACATCGTCTTGTATAAATATACCTTCATTTCTTAGGAAATCACTTTTCGCCTTCCCGAATTCTCTTGCTCTCTCAAACTTTCTCACTCTCCGGCAACCTCTGCTCTCCGGCTTCATCGGTGCTCATCTTCTCCGAAACTTTCAGGCTTAATCACAGTTCAAGACAACCACGCCATCATGTGTAAGTTCTCTATCTCCTTCACTTGTGTTTTTATTGGTTTTTCCTTCTTCAATTTTTTCTGGGTTTTGGGGAATTTCTGAAGTTCATACGTGTTCTTCATGAATTCCTTACGGATTTTTCGTTCAATCTTTCTACGCGCATATTCTGCTAGGATTTGTTGTTTTCACCAGTGGTCGACTGCCGATATGCAGTCGACTTTTCACCTGTCCCTGAGTCGACTCTCCATCGTCTTAGTGACCTTTTAGTTTTTCCTTGTC